TATTCAGGTAATTGAAGAGAGGGATGACTATTGGGTGGCCAACCTATTCTATCCCTAATACAAGGGTAAAATGGTTGATCAAATGCCACCATCCCAGAGGGAGGCCAGAATGAGGAGATGCGTTGTTAGAACCTATTTGCCACATTTCCTGATGGTGGCAGGATGCCCTCCTGATTATCCAATCATCTGATTCCTAAAAGGAGAAGCGGTGGCTCCTCATTTCTGCTTTTCAGAATTTGTATATTTCTTTGAACCACAGCCGCCAGTCTCAACTGCAGTGTGCTCTCACAGACGGTGCCTGAACCATGTGATTGCCAACTACATTGGTCCAGGGCTAATGGTGACACACTCTGCAGTGAGGACCCCATAGACCAGGCCTAAAAATTTACACCCGCCCCCTCGCAATTGGCGAGTGAAAATTGCATCGGGGAGAGTGGAATGTTGTTGAGGGGATGCGCCGCCGTCAGGACCAGGGATGGGACACTACTGCCGCTACGATTGCTCACGTCTGTTATCTCTTCTCCTCCTCTATAGCTGCAGCTACAGAGTGGCCGAGGAGAAGAGAGAACAGAAGCGAGCAATCGCCACAATAGTAGTGTCCCATTCCTGGTCCTGCAGGCGGCTCACCCCCTCGATGACATTCAGTTCGGCTGTCTTCCCTTTGGCTGTCTTCTGCAGCTTCCTCCGCCCACCTCAACCTCTGCACTGTGTCACACTGACCTCTACTGTGCGTTACATTATTGACCTCTGCACTCTGCGATGTTACTGATTTCTGTACTGTGCTTACCCTGCAGCTAGTGTGCTGTCTTCTGAGAGGACCTTCAGTGCAGCAGAAAGGAAGGGGTGGTTAATCTGCCTGTCCCCTGATAGTGTGGAATGGAATTGTCATCCCTGTCCACACCAAAAAAAAAAACAAAGGTACCTGGTGCTTGCTCCTCTCCCGGCCTTTCAGATAATGCACTCTAATTTCTATTAAAAGATGAACCCTGCCTTCTCTCCCTCTTATATTGTGTCGTAACCAAGCTGCTTACATACTGTGCAGCCACTGAACAGTGTGGCTATTGTTTCTAAAATGATACACTCACCTTTCCAACAATGGTACAAACTAATTGTTATCTGGGAACATAAAATGTGGAAAAAAAAAAATCACTTTAGATAGATATCCAACATGCCCAGGTTAAAAATTGTGTGCTTATGTGACACTGCGACAGAATTCCGTACCCCAAAAAGTCCATAGACTCTGTAAAAGCCCCTACAGGTCATCAGTTTGTGGATGTGTGTAAATAGAATATTTGCTCATAGTCTGAAGTGTGTGGTGCAATCGTCGTGTTCATACGCAGGTGCACCTGACGCATATTTCTGTGAAGACGTGGGCAGGGGACTTTAAAAAAAAAAAAAATGTGTTGGTTTTTTTACATTTAATATTTTTAAAACTTTTTTTTTTTAAACTTAATTGCTATCACATAGGGGACTTTGCAAGCCACCAGAATCACTGCCGCCGGCTCTACAAAACTGATCGTTCCTTATCTGGACTATCTTTTTTTTTGCAAGGTCAGAAGATCAATTGAGGTCGGATCTATCAACTACTAGTTCATCTACAGAATCTGGGGTGGTTGATTAATTGGCAGAAGTAGTGTCTTGTTCCTTCTCAAGTTGAGCAATTCCTGGTAACTTGTTGAACTCTTCCCAGGGCAAAATGTATTTACCTCCAGATAAAATCCTCACGATTTCTTCTCTGGCAGCAGATCTCCAGTGCAATCTTCCAGTCTCCATCTGCAAGGCCATGTCCCTGGTAGGGCTTATGGCAGCTGCCATCCCAGCGGTACAGTGGGCAAAGCTCCACATGAGGATTCTCCAGAATCTCTTTGCTGGACAAGCTCATCCTTCTACCACCAAGGGTAAAATGTTTGCTTTGATGGTGGAGGAAAGAGTCAAATCTCTCTGCATGTCTTCTATAGGCTTTTCCTGTGGCACAGAGGGTCCCGACAGAAGCAAGTGCTTGGGGTGCCCATCTGGATCTTCAGGTAGCCCAGGGAGTCTGGTTGAGGAAAAAGGCATGCAAATCCTCCAATTGGAAGGATTTGCGGGTGGTCTGAGAAGCTCTTCAGGCTTTTCATCAGGATCTCAAGCATCAGCATCTTCAGATTTATCCGACAATGCCAAAACGGTGGCTTACCTGAACAAACAAGGGGGTACCCGAAGTTGTTCCCTTTGTCTATTGGCAAACCAGATTTCTGTTTGGGCAGAAGCTCATCTTTCTCTTTCGGCCATACATCTCAAGGGGTCACTAAATGTGGTGGCGGACTTCCTAAGTTGCGATCAGATCAGGGAGTTGGAGTGGAGCCTAAACCAAGAAGTTTACCTGTCCATTGCAAAGAAATGGGGCAATCCCCAAGTGGATATTTTTGTTTCTGAGTCGAATGCAAAAACAGAGGTTTTCTTCTCACTCTAGAAAGGAAGTGGTCCTGCAATGATGGATGTGTTAGCTCATCCTTGGTCCTTCCAGCTGTGCTACACTTTCCCCCCTTTCAAGTTACTGCCTCTAGTTCTGAGGACATTCAGGGAGGAGAACACGACACTCATTCTCATAGCTCCCTTCTGTCCCAAGAGCCCCTGGTCCTAAAACGTCTGGCAATGGAACCACCTTGGCTCCTTCCTTTCAGACAGGATTTGCTCAGCCAGGGTCCAGTGTTCATCCCTAGGTAGAGGGTTTGAAATTATGCAGCTTGGCTTCTGAGGAGGGGCTCCTGAGAAGTAAGAGTCTGTCGGACAGGGTTATTGTAACACTTCTATCCAGCAGGAAGACAGTGGCGAGGGTGATCCATGTTAAAAACGAGAATGGTGTCTAGATAACCAAAGATCCAAAAATGTATGAGACACAATCTGTTTTGTCATGGCTGCAAGATTTGAAATGGAAACAAAACTATGTGGGTGACCCTGAATGTCCTGGCGATTTATTCATATCCCCTATGATAAAACAGTTGGTATCCTTAAAATATCATCTCGTCACCTACAGTGATTGGAGTTGGATTGGAGTGAGTGGAGTTGAGGTGTTTCTTATTGTTGGTTGTGGAATTTTTGCTTTTGCATATTTTTCTTTTTAATGAGAGTTTCTACCTGCAGAGATGTGGAGCTTCTATGGGGATAAACTTTTCGCACTCTCTCACTAACATATATACTCTATGGGTTGCTGGGAGAAGCTCTGCATCTTGAGTGGGAACCCATATGGCGGTCATATCTATTTGTATAGTTTCTGTATCAATGTCCTGCTTTTAATCTGGCAGGGTGCAGAGGAAGAGTTATTCTTGTAGAAGGGCATCTCTTGAAGGGTTACTTCTCTTACCTTGTCTTTCTAACAGTAGGAGTAAATCTGTGACCTGACTTTAAGGTCAAGGGATTGTAAACATGAAGGTTGAATACATGCAGTTAGTTTTGTTACAGACCCTACAATAAGATGGTATCATCGGTAGTGACAAATGAGACTTTTGTGTACACCAGTTTCCTAACTGTATTTCTAAAAATGTACTTCACATATTCACTTGTTTGGATTGCAAGTTGCAAAACGCTGACTGCTGTGGAAGACCTTTATGGGTTTGCACAGGAGAGTAGGTCAGTGTCCCACTGTGTCCAGCCATTCTAATGTTGACAAACAGAATGCACCTAAAGTCAATATGTTTTTTTTTCATGCAATAGAGTGTGTGGATGGCTCTGTACTGGAGGGTCTTTATAGGCATATGCAATACTTAGGCCAACTTAACACTTTCATATTGTTTTTGTTTGTGTTTTACATTGTTCACTAGTACATGCTATTATAAACTTTTTGATACGTTTAAAAGGAGATATTAACTACCTTTTTTACACCTAGGCGTGTTGTAATTATGTGTGCATTACTACATACATTTTGCAAAATAATGTACATGTTGTGTCAGTGCACCAAAGAGTAAGTAAAGGATGGCCACCTGCACTCCAAAGCAAATCCAGTATGTCTATTTATTCACGTACTTGTTGCAAATGCAAAACTACAATAACTGCATGTATTCAACCTTAATTTTTTTCAATCCCTTGACCTTAAAGTCAGGTCACAGATTTACTCCTACTGTTAGAAAGACGAGGTCCTGTGAGACCCCGAAACGTTGTATCTTGTGTTTTGCATTTGCAACAAGTACGTGAATAAATAGACGTACTGTATTTGCTTTGGAGTGCCGGTGTCTATCCTTTACCTATACTTTGACGGAAGTCACCTGTTGACACCTGCTGCACCCACTTCTTATCTCACGGAGCAGCGGTTCTGAGTGCGATGAGTACACGGACTGTATCCAGTGCACCAAAGAGAACTCGGTGATTGCCTTTTTCTTTTTTTTTAGCTTCCCACTTTTTACTGTTGTGCTTTATTCACACATGCTTAACCTCACACTACTGCACTGACTTTTATTTTGGGTAATGCACAACATATTGGAGGGGGGGGGGGGAAAAAGAAGG